GATTCATCCCAGGGATGCAGGGATGGTTCAATATACGAAAATCAATTAATGTAATACACTATATCAATAGAGCCAAGGACAAAAACCATATGATTATCTCCATAGGCACAGAAAAAGCACTTGACAAAATCCAACATGCATTTATGTATGAATAGTTTTTAAAAAGTGAAGACCTGGCTGAACCAAAACGACAAATTGGCAGCAAAATTTAACCTCTATGAAATTTGGAATCTATATACCTGGAAATTAACAATTTGGGGAAAAAAAGTAAATCTCTAGGAATTGTGAAGGAACTGAAAGGAAAATTAAAAGCATAGAGAAGTTGGTAAAATGAACCACAACACAGAGAAAAGACAAAAGCAATCTGGAAGCCCATCTCAGCTCTTGGGAAAGACAGCGTCCCTTTATTGGTGCAAGGTAAGCCCCCAGGGGCAGGAGCTCCAAGAAGAAATGGCAGACTGGGCCACAGGATGGGCCCCAGGAGGAGCCCATGGCTATTGTGAACTGTAGAAGGAACACAGTGTTTTTCTTCAAAGTAACTCCTTTCATGAGGCAGGCAACAGCTGGAGAGGAAATCTAGTGCAGCACACATCATATTGCCATAGAGTGGCACTATTAATTGGGCACCATTTTGGGATGGCATCGATTAAGTCTGAGACTCAGAACAACTAAAAATCAACTTTAGGGTTCCCAGTGTAGCCCTCCCACAATGACTAGGTAAGAGACAGCTTTGAAAGACAGTCACGGACAGGGAGGGAGCTAAACAGAGAACTCCTGAGAAGTTTAAGTTCATCTAGAAAGAGCATGGGTCCTACCCTCTGTGGTGAAAAGCCAGGTGAGGATTGTCCTTTGCTCAGAAATGACTAGGTCTGAAAGTGCCAGCACTAAGTACAGTGGGCTGCTTGAACCATTTCCCTGCTGCCTATATTCAACACAGAGATGAAGTCTGATTGCCTTCCCCATCTGTCACCTTGGCTCAGACAGTTGCTACAGACCCAGGTAAACAGAGTGGCCTCTAGAACATGAGGCACCTCATAAACCCACAACCCATAAACTAGGTGGAGAAAACTATGACTTGCTGAATTCCAAAACTGTGGATCCTGGAAAGAAGTCACTTATTAAACAGTACAGAGAAAAAAAATTTTTTTTCTGTTTTTGGACTCACTGTCTTTTTCTGTTTTTTTTCTACTTCACTAGTTTATTAAAGTTCAGGGAAATTTCCTTTTTTTTCTTTATTTTTCTTTTTTATTCTTCCTATTTTTCTTTTTTCTCTTTTTTCTTTTGTCTTCTCTTCTTTGTTTATCCTTTTCAGCTACCTTTATCTATTCTATTAATATCTTTCTACTCCCTAATAAGATCTTTTGTTTCATTTTTCTCACTCATCTCCCATTGCTTAATTTTTTCAAAATTTTCTTCTTTCATTCTCCCATTTCCAATTTTCTATATCTTTACTAGTATAAACATTAAGTTTTATTAATCTTCAGATAGGTAACTTTATGCTATTACTGTTGAATTCTATTATTAGTGGAGGTAGAGTGTCACATTTAGTAGATTTTACTGTATGTCAATATTTGGTTTGTCTTAGTGTTTATACAGTAATTATTGATTTCTGTGGTTAAGGGTGATACATTATTGGTTCTTATGGTGTGTCTATATCCAGTTAGTCTTGGAAAATACTATCATTGCTAATTTACTTGATAATGCCGTGGTGGCATAGTTGTTGCTATTAATAGGTTTTGTCTGTATGCAGATTACCTTTGTGTCATTAACAATACTGTAATCCATTCCCAGAAAACTGGATTTTGGGCCAATTACACTGCATCCTCCCCTTCCAAATGAATGGATGTGGTCAGATATTGGGACAGAAGAAAAGAGCTATAGTTAGCCATGCCTAGAGTGCATCACTAAAAAGCAAAGATTAATGAGATCTCCGTACTAGTAACAAAGACTTTCCCCTAGAAGTGCCCACAAATCTCAACACAAAACAAACTAACACACAAAATAACAATAAGAACATGGGAAAACAAGGCACAAAACACCTTCCCAAGCTCCAAACTCCCCCAAAGCTAATCAATTGGGCATTGAGAGGGAGGAGAAAAAGAAATACACACTGTCAAATTACTGGAAAGGATAGAGATTAAGAAACAGATCAATAAGGTAGTCAGCAGACTCACATAAGATATAACTAAATGCATAATGGATATAATGTAGAAAATGATCAGGGAGCTTACAGTAGAATATACTAGTAAAAAGCTTGCTGAGCTAAAAAAAAATGACAAAATCATGGATGACCAGTTCAGCAAAAAATTAGTCTGAGAAAAGGTCCCAAAGGGAAATCCAAGTGATGAAAATTTATATTGAAAGTATGAGCATCAGAAGTGACTAATATGAGGACAAAATGTCAGAATTAAAAGATGGGGCTGGTATCAGAAAACAATTATTCAGAGACATCATAAAAGACAAGAGAATATGAAAAATAGATTCAATAGCTGCTAGATATTGAAAAGAAGACTAATCTAAGATTAAGTGGAATTAGAGAAAATTCAGAAGACAGTACAAATAACATAAAAACCTGTTTTACAATCAGTAAATGTTATACATCATACAAACAAAGGCAAGACAAAAATCACATGACCGTTGCAAATTGACACAAAGCCTTTGACAAAGTCCAACATTCTTTCATGATAAAAAAAATGAAAAAAGTTATAGAAGGACCTTATATGAATTTGATAAAAGCCATTTATGAGAAACCAATGGCCAACACCATGTTAAATGGAGAGAAGCTGAAAGTTTTCCCTCTAAAATCAGGAACAAAGACAAGAATGTCTGCTATCACCACTCCTGTACAGTATAGTTCTTAAAATTTTAGCCAGAGAAATCAGGCAAGAGAAAGAAATATAAGGGATATGTATAGGAAAGAAAGAAGTCAAATTACCATTATTGGCAGATGATATGACTCTCTACATAGAAGAGACAAAAATCAACAAAAAGACAAGAATTCATAACTATATTCAGTAGAAACACAGAATACAAAGCAATACACAAAAATTAATAGAATTCCTGTACACCAATAATAAACTCACCAAGAATGAAATCAGAGAAACAATACCATTCACAATAACATCAATAAAAACTAAATAGGAAGGAAGTGAAAGACCTCAACAATGAAAACTATAGTACTTGAAAAAGCTCAAAGAGGAATATTCAACATCTTTGACCTTTAGAGAAATGCAAATTAAAACAATGCTCAGATTCCATTTTGATTCAGGAAAAAAATGGCTATCACCAAGATATCAGATAGTAACAAATACTTCTGTGGAAGGATGCAGAGAAAAATGAACTCTTTTACATTGTTGGTGGGAGTATAATTAGTATAACCATTATCAAATCAGTATCAAAAATCTTCAAACATCTAAAAATAGAAATTCCATTTGGCCCAGCTATGCTTCTTCTAGGTGTCTTCCTGAAAGAATTAAAGACATCATATTATAGTGATAAAATGCATACTCAAGTTTATAGAAGCACAGTCCTATTGGAGGGTGAGCAGTCTTCCAACTGCCTAGAAAGAGGGATGGTGGGGGCTAAAGAAAAAGAGAGTGCCTCAGAGTGGGAAAAGACAAAGACACTCTGAGCCATTATTTATTGTGTACACACAATAATTAGAGGGAGTATAAGGTGGCTTGGGGGTGCTGGCAGTAGTCCTATGTCAATGCGGATTTTATGCTGATGAAGATGATAAGGAGAGCATTCTTACACTAGTAGGTGGGACAAGATAGCAGGCTAATAAAGAAGTTGTCCTTCCCCCTGATGAAAGCTTTCTCTTTTGTTATTACTACTTGGTTCTTGAAGAACCAGGATGTCTTCAGCTGATGTACACTTGCCCTTGAGCTTCACTGTATCACAGGACTATTGAGGTTCAACTTGTGACCGGGGGCAAAACAGAGTTGTTTCCAAATGCCATAGCCAGCTGGGGGCAAGGTAACATTGGGCTTTAGACAGCTATAGTCATACTTCACTTATGAAGTGATTTTTCCCCCAACACAGTCCACAATAGCTGAATCTTGAAAATAGCTTATATGTGCATCAATAGATGAATGCATAAAGAAAATGTGGTATTTAAACACAATGAACTACTACTCTGCCATAAAGAAGGATAAACTTGAGTCATTTTTAGAAAAGTAGATGCACCTGGAGACAATTACATTAAGTGAAATAAATCTGATGTGCAAGTTTAAATATCACATGGTTTCACTTATATGAGAAACCCAAAATAAAAGATCAAAATAAGAAATAGATAATAGGAAATAGGGAAAAAGATGTTTTTCAAATGGAAAGGGGCTTAGGAGATGGGGAAATGGGATTAGAAAAAAATAATTAAAATGTATTATGTACACATAACAACTCCCCATGAAGAATGTGATCATTGTGTACTACAAACATGTACTAATAAAGCAAAATAAAAATTGAAAAAAAAAGTGAAGACTTAAAACAGAGCCACCACTCCATGTAGTTCAAGACTGTGCACAAATGTCAGAGAACGATAGACAGATTGCCATATCTCCTCACCTAAAATTCTCTCTGTCATCAGGCCTGCACCTGGATAACTCTTTTTTCCCAGTACTGGAGATCAAACCCAAGACCTCATTCAGGTAAAGTAAATACTCTACTACTGAGTCAATCCCTTGCCCTGGATAATTTTTTTAATAGGAGTTTCTCTGTGCATTGCAGAATGCTTCACAGCAGCCCTGCTCTGGATATACATAGGACTCTCTCATCAATTTTCCCAATCAAAAGTGTTTTCAATCATTGCTGTATTGAGATATCCTGTGGGGCAAAATCACCCCAGATGAGAATACTGGCCAGGAGAGACTTTAGACTCATCTCTTGAGGACCTAGAACCCACCTATGTGCAGGAGAGTTGGGTGATATGAGGTGGATCAGGTAAGACAGGGGCTGAAAAAGACAGGCCTGTCATGGAGGAGAGTCTAGATTTTAATTTTGAAACTATTGAGAAGCCATTTGAGATTTTAAGAAGGGGGTGGTATGATATCGGTTATGATTCAAAAGATTATGCTGGCTATAAAATGCTATATTAAAGGAAAAATTGAATTAAAGAAAGCAGCTTATCCCAGATAATTGAGATTTAGTGATGGAATGATTCCAATAACGGTGGTGAACATCAAGAGCAATGAACAGATTCGAATACAGCATACACTGTGAAGTGTTGAATAGGCAAACAAGAAAGAGTGATGTGTACTGGGGGCAAAATCACCCCTCATATACAGACTCCTGTAGCTGCATCACAAACAACTTGGAGGATCATAATGACCTTTACAGGGATGGGAAATAGTGGATAAAAATAAGCTTAGCCAACCTGAGTATGAAGAGCATCATTTTGAGTATATTAAGCCTTTTATGCCTATTAGGTAGTCAAGTAGAAATGGTAAATGGGATATATGAAGTTTAGGGAAGAGCTTATGGGTAGAAAAATATAGTTGGGAGCCACTGGCATCAGGATGACACTGAAACCATTAGACTGTAAAGAATCTTGTAGGGGAAAGTGCTTAGAAAGGATGAGCACAGAGGGGAGAGATATTGGGCCCTCCTGCATTCACCTTCCTCAGAGCAGCTGAGATAAGAAGAAATAGCTGGAGTGGGAGGGGGAAACCAGTGTAATATGGTGCCAGGAAAGCTGGAAGTGACAGTGTGCCAGAAGAAGGGAATGACCAATGAGGCAATGAACACATTCTGTGATTTTGTGCAAGTGTTTTGGTAGGGTAATTTCCTAAGTGTAAAATTGCTCATTTGAAGGCTATGGATATATTTAAACTTTATTTGATATTGCCAATATTTCTCCCACAAAGTTTGACTTATTTTTTTACTCTATGTAGGCAAGTAAGGTAATGACATTTTTAAGGTGAACTTTTTATTAAATTAATATACAGAAATGTAAATAAATTTTCATAAAGAAAACATACCCATGTATCTATCACCTAGATGGAGAAACTATGTTACCAACTCCACAGAAATCCTTCCTACACCCTCTCTCAGTCATTACCACCTTCGAAGTGACAATTATCTTGACTTCTAATACCACAGATCAGCTTTGCCACCTTTTGAGCTACATATAAGGAGTTATACAATGTGCATGCTCTCGCAGCTGCCTCTGTCAAACACTATGTTTGTGACGTTCTCCATGTCATTGCACATAGTGATAATTTGTTCATTCTATTGCCTTTAGATGGTTCAATTTTTTATTGTTTAAAGATAATTTTCATCAAGAAATTAAAACATGTCCTTGTAAAATATACAAATAATAGTGAATGAATGAATAGTGAATGAAGTGAATGAAGCAAAAAGAGTTCCAAATCCACCCCACAGAGAGGTAGCTTCCATATTTTAAGCCCCACTGAGAAGAAAAAAAACACGCTGCCAATTCTTTTTACCTTTTCTAATTTTTATTTTATACCTACTAAATTATTTCTTTTGAACTTAGTTTAATTCTGTGTATCAAATTAATTTGAATTGCTATCCAGTGTCCTTTATTTCACCCTGAAGAACTCCTTTCGATATTTTTCATAAGACAGGGCTCCTCATGACATTCCCTCAGTTCATTTATTTGAGACTTCTTCATTTTGCTTACTTTTATTAAGAGCATTTTTTTCTGGATACAGAGGTTCTTTCAGGAGTGTGAATGTGTTGCCTCTACCTTTTGACCCCTCCAGTCCTAATAGTTGCTATGTTCACTTTGCTCTGCTGTCCTCCAGTTTCCCTTTGTCTTTGTTTGATAGTTTGACTTCAAGGTGTCTGGATGTGAGTCTCCTTTAGTTTAACCTACTGGAAATTTGTTAAGGTTCTTGGTTATGAAGATAAATATTTTTTTCTTTTATTAAATTTGGGGAATTCTCAGCCATTATTTTTTCACATTGCTTTTCTGTTCCCTTCTTTTTTCTCCTTCTGGGGTTCCCATTATTTGTGTGTAGGTATTGAGGTCCCACAGGTCTCTGAGGCTGTATTTCAACTTTTTCCTTTATGTTGACGATTTTGCTAGTATTTTCATTACCTTCTGGAGGAAGAGATCCTAGAGGGTTTTCCTCTGCCATTCCAGAAGGCTTCTCTTGTCTGTTCTTTTAATTAGTAAAGTGAAAATGCCCCAAGAAACTTCTTGAAAATCTAAGATTTTTTTAAATTATAGGTTAGAACATAGCACCTCCTATATGTAAGAGAGGTTGTGAAGTCAGCAACTTTCCAAGACTTCAGCAGTATAAACAGCTTTGGGTCCCTTTTGGTCACTGTGGCCACAAGTGTTTCCTGTTTATGTGGATTTAATTTGAAGGTAGTCTTTTCTTGGTCCATCTTTATTCATTGTAACATTTAAAGTGTCTCTTTAGTATTTTATTCTTTTAAAAAATATATTAAAAAATTTTAATCCCCATTCCCTTGCCCTCCCTTCAACTCCTCCACCCCTCCCTATTTACAGAGACTTTGTTTCTGTTTTTTCCTTTTCTCACATTTATTCCTTTCCCTTCCCCTACCCTTCACACTTTCCCTTCCTCTTTGGGCCTTTTCTTCCCGTTTCACATTATCTATTATACATTTTTTTTTTTTTATCTATTGTACATTTTGATCCTTACTTACTTTCAGTTTCTCACACCAGAGAAACTATTCGGTATTTACACATGTGTCCTATTTATTTCACTTAAGAGTATGGCCTCAGTGTGCATTCATTTAGCTATAAATGTCTCTAGTTTTTCATTCTTTATGGCTGAGTAGTACTCCATTTTATAAAAAAAAATCTGTGTCTTCTTTATCCAGTCTCCAGTTGATGGGCAATTGGGCTGTTTCCAAGTTTTAGCTATTATAAACTGTGCTGTTATAAATGTGGGTGCACATATATCAATATATATGTTCATTCAAACGTCAATTTACATGGACATTGTTTTCAGATTTACACTGTTATAAGTACTGCCGCTAATATTTTCATACCTATATTTTGATGAACATATGTACAAATTTTTATTTGTCATATATCCAGAAGTAAAATTGCAGATCGTAGAATGTGTTTATGTCCAAATTTTAACTACTAAAATATCTACCAACAGTTTATGACAGTTATAGTTCCTTCATATTCTTGTAAACACTTGATATTGTCAGTCTTTTTCATTTTGGCCATACTAGTAAGTTTGAGAATGTCTCAGTATGGTTTTGCTTTGCATTCCCATTTTCACTAATGAGATTAAATACCTTTACTATACATTTTAATGTGAATGTTTTCTTTAAAATTTATTCTACTAATTACAATTATGTTTTTCTTAAAGTAATACATGATTGGTCAGTATGGAAAGCATACAAAAACATTTTTAAAACAGTCTTAATTTTGTATACACTTTAAAAAAGAACATGCTATCAGCAAATGACTCTATAGGCAGTAATATTTTGAAAACATTTTATAATTAAAGATATTTAATTCATCCAACATCACATAGTCTGCAAGCAACACCAGATTTGTGACTTCAAAGTCCAATTGTAATTATTATGCCATACTGTTTCCCTTTCTGTATCAACAGAGATTGATCCATTTTTAATGGTTTTGGAGAACTGTCTGGTACAAATGTGTCACTGAAAAATCTCACTTTTTTCACTACTGGGATTACTACATCCCCAGCCCTTTTAAAAAATTTTAGATTTTGAGACAGGGTCTTACTAAGTTACTAAGTTGCCCAGACTGGCCTCAAATTTGCAGTTCTCCTGCTTCAGCCTCCCAAAGTGCTGGAATTATAGGGGTGCACCACCATACCAGCTAAAAACCTCATTTTTGATAACTTTTCAGATGAAATGAATGGTGAATGTTTAGTAGCTTCTGTATTTGTATATTGTTTGCAGAGTTATGATGTTCTGATGCCAAGTGTCTTCATAGCTCTTGTCTAGAAGTTGTCTCAGCTGCTGCTTATACACTGGCCTTACTCATCCCACACACCAGAGCACCCATTCTGTCTTTTTGAAGTGATAAATTGTGTTGTAGTATTTCTGTTGGAGAATGTGGTATTTCTTTCTCTTTTTTGTATATATGTATGTTGTATTTCATTGTTGCATTCTCATATATGCATATAACATACTCTGATAATATCCATCCCCCATTAAATCTTTATTATATTTATTGGGTGTTTATATATCTTCTTTTGGAAAGTGCCTGTGCAAGTCTCTGGCACATTTTTCTCCTGGATTTCCCTATTATTATTTTTATTATTTATTCTTTAGAGTATTATGAGCTCTTTGTAATTTGTAAATGTCAAAAAACAAAATCTCCAACTCTGTTCTTTGCTTTATCACTCTCTGAATGCTTTTTGATGAAGAGAATTTTTAATTTTAATGTGGTCCAATTTTTCAAATGACTCCTTCATTGTCGGTAGTTTTTGTGTCCTATTTAATTGTAGCCTGCCATGGTATTAAAAATATTCTTCTAAGAACTTTATTGTTTGGCCTTTCACACCAAGATTTCCAATCCACGTGGCATTTGTTCTTGCTAATAATGTGAGATAGGGTCAAGATAAGCACCTTTCTTTCATGGATAACCCATTGACCTGCCATCATTGACTGAAAAGACAATCAATAATCCCTCTCCTCCATGCTGGGAACTGGGTGA